AGCTCAGGTCATGATCACAGGGTCATGGGATCCAGCCCCATGTTAGGCTCTGCACTCAACATGGAGTCTGCTAGAGATTCTCTCCTTCTCCTTCTGCCCCTCCCCCTGCTCATACTCGCTCTCTCGCTCTCTCTCTCTCTCAAATAAATAAATAAAATCTAAAAAATAATAAAAAATAAAATAATATAACATTAAAATAATGCTCCAATATAAGTAATCGTCTCCCTTTGTTTTGTAATAATCTGAAGCAATTTTTAAAAATAAAATTAAATAACTTTTCCTTGTAAATAAATGTCATAGGCAGTATGACTTTACCTGTTCATATGACCAGACTTTAACAGCTGTTTCAGGAGCAATCTTGAGAACATTCACACATTTTCCTCTCCATAAAGAAATGACTCCACCCTCTTTGACCATCTCTCTTAAACCATTTATTATCCTCACATTCTTTGCTTCTAAACTCTGAGCCTTGAAAAGGAGAGGAAGAATTTTGAAAACGGACAATATGATTTAAAGAACTTTGAAATCTGCATATTGTAATTTTTACACAGTGGGCAGGAAAGAGTTAAAGTTCCCCAGATATTGAAAGTCTCTTATTGGGGAAGCAGCAGCTGCTCTGGTGATTAGACAGCTTTGGAAGCATGTTTATTTTGATCCCTGCACTATAGCTTATGAAGGGGGACACTTTACACAGGGACATGGATAAACATGCCATAAACATTGTTTCTTTGTTTCGTATTCCTCAAGAGGATGGGCAAATGGCTCTCCCATCATGAAAAGAGTGAATCAGATATAAATGTAAACAGAAGAATCAGGGAAATAACATTTCTGAGAAGTTAAGACCACTGAAACTCAGAGAATTTATTGCTAACAAGGGGCTTTGAGGCCTCTAACAAGTATGATCAGTATGGTCAGTGTGAGCAGAGGAAAAATGGAATCCAACTAAAGATGCAAAAGTGGTTTTAAAATAAGAGGTATTAAAGAGCAATTTGGGGAACTCCTGGCTGACTCAGTCAGTGGAGCATGAGACTCTTAATCTCAGGGTTGTGAGTTCAAGTCCCATGTTGGGGGGTCGAGGTTATTTAATAAATAAAAGTGTAAAAATACATAAAGAGCTATTTGTTTTTAGGGGACCTGGGCAGGCAGCCCTTGCAGTATAATAGTTGAATATTTAATAAACATGGACGGAATCAGCAGGATCCTTGCAATACATATGCGAAGTTTATTTTTTAATTTTGAAAAAGAAGAACCAGAATGAGGATAATCACCAAGTCAGTTGCAGCTAGAAGACAATTACCAACTCTCTACTGGGGAGAAACAGACATTTAAACTCAAAATGACAGCTGTATTACAGCCACAATCATAAATATGTTTGCTTTAATTGTACAATAAATCTGTATAAGAGGCCTGATAGTCAGCCAATATATAAAATAAGGAAATAATTCTGTACTTGACTGATTCACAATCACTAAGCTAAGCCCTTGTATATCCACCACCTACACCACCAGTCACTCTGGCTCCAGGGAGTCCCAGGTGGGCTCCACTTTGAAGAGTACCTGCCCCAGTGACCACTAACCAGTCTATATACCTGCCTTCTCTTGTGTCATCCCTGGGCCTCTTTGTTAAGAGCAAACCCAGATCAAGACAGGAAAGACAGCACCACTGTTGATGGCATTTGCACCAACAGGAAAATGCTAGGTATCCATTTGACCCCAGAGGCTATGACAGTCCACCATCAACCAGTGCACTCCAAAAGTTACCTCACATATCCTCATCTTTATTGGTACTGCAGCCTCTGTGATATTCTTTCATCTACACAGATTGTTAAATATTTTTAAAATCACTCCTCCGATAATTAAAGTCATAATGTAATTTGGATTTTTGCAAATACTCTCCTTTGAGTAACATAAAATGGTGTATCAGTTAACAATTGCTATGTAACAAAACACCCTAAAAAAAATTCAGTGGCTTGAAACAACAAACATTTCATTTGTTTGTGATTCAATGGATTAGCAGTTGGACTGGGCTCAGTGAGTGGTTCTTCTGCTAATCTTCTCTGTGGTTACTTGTGTAGCTATAGTCATCTAGCAGTTTGACAGGAGCTGGATAGTCCAGGATGGCATCAGGCATATGGTTGGTTGGTTGGTGCTGTTAGCTGAGCCTCTTTCTCTCCCCATGTGGTTTCTTATTTTCAAGTAGGTTAGTCCAGACTTCTTTACAGATGGTCTTAGGGCACTAAGCAGACATGCGCAAAAGCTGCAAGACCTCTTGAAGTCTTGGCTTTCAAGTCCCACAACATCCCTGGACAAAGCTGGCCCAGATTCAAGGGATGGTGAAATAAACTCCACCTCTTGATGGGAAGAGTAGCAAAGTCATATTGCAAAGGATGGGAAGAATTATGGAATCTATCTTTGCAAACAATCTACCACAAGGAGGTATGGCACTAGATCCATAAAGAAAGAAATACAGTTTCTTTTTTTTTTTTTAAAGATTTTATTTATTTATTTGAGAGAGAGAATGAGAGACAGAGAGTATGAGAGGAAGGAGGGTCAGAGGGAGAAGCAGACTCCCTGCCAAGCAGGGAGCCCGATGCGGGACTCGATCCAGGGACTCCAGGATCATGACCTGAGCCGAAGGCAGTCGCTTAACCAACTGAGCCACCCAGGCGCCCAGAAATACAGTTTCAACACACCAGCTGGCTTTACAATAAATAATATTCATATCATCATAAGAATGTAAATGCTATTTGTTAATTTTAAACATTTAAAATCACCCTATTGACAAAACTTTGAGGATATAAATATGATTGTAAAACAGAACGTAATATTAACAACCTTGATAGTTTTCAAAAGGATATACTTCAACTCTCTCCAATGTTGTCAGAAATGCCATTAGTAAGGTAAAAATAAGTGACAGGATTCATTCCAGTGTTTAGATCCTTCTGGAAATCCTTGCCAGCAAAATCTTTTATAAAATAGTATTACCTGATGTTGGTGAGAATACAGGGAAACAGGTAATAGCACACATTGCTAGGAAAAGTGCAAGTTGGTATTATCTTCCTAGAAGGAAGTATGACAATATATCAGAAACCTTAAAATATGTTTTTTTTTAAAAAAAGATTTATTTATTTATTTGAGAGTGAGAGAGAGACAGAGAGAGTACAAGCAGGGGGAGAGGCAGAGGCAGAGGGAGAGGGAGAAGCAGGCTCCCCGCTGAGCTGGGAGCCTGATGCAGGACTCGATCCCAGGACCTGGAGATCATGACCTGAGCAGGAGGCAGACGCTTAACCATCTGAGCCACCCAGGAGCTCCTTAAAATATTTTTAGAGTTCCATGTGTGGTAATGACAAACTAGTGATTAGGAATGAACTTCCTACTAAGGACAACTGAAAAAAGCTGATGAAATATGTTTCTTAAAGTTTTCTTAAAGGTATCCATGAGCTAATAAGACAGAAACATATTACAGGCTCAATATGTAGGAGAAAACAAGGAAAAGTAAGATTAGCATTAAAGTGTATTTCTGAATGCAAAAGAAACAGTTGTGAGATTAAGTTGTTGTTTTGGTGGCCTCACAGGATTAACAAAGAACAAAAGATAAATCCCAGGGCCCACCAAAGGCATAGGTCTCTCACATACCACCTCCACTTTAAATGGGGAATTTGCAGGGCCAAACCCTCATGGTAAGCATAAACCAGAAGAAACCAGCTTCTGCAAGGACTTGCAGCATGGCTTTTTATCACCTGGGTGGTCCAGGGAACTTCAAGACTCGAACTTGAATTAAAGTGATCCCAGATTGACAGCATTCCCAGGCACCTGACAGAAGCAAACAGAAATCTAGTCTGAAGTTGGATATCATCATCCTTGTCCACAAGTTACTGCACAAGTAATATTTTAAAAAACAACAACAAAACTAATGGAGGGAGGAAAAGCAGAATGATTTTTTAAAATACAACAGACGGCAAGAAAGGAAGGAGGATCTTAAAACAGGCAGGGCAAACAGAAAGCATAAAATAAGATGGTGGGTTTAAATGAAAATATCAATAAATACATTAACTGTAAATGGAATAGATCTTCCAATTAAAAATATAACAAAACCCAACCATATGCTGTTTTAAGTGGCTTATCTAAAACTTAAAAATACAGAAAGTTCAAAAGTAAAAGGATGACAATGAATATATCACACAAATTCCAAACAGGAGAAGGGAGTGTGGCTCTATTAATGTCACACAAAATAGAACTAAAAGCATTTATGGAGATCAAGAGGGTCCTTCACCATGATAAAAAGTTCAATTCTCCAAGAGTATACCAACTTTTGACCTCAAGATATATAAAGGAAAAAGTGACAGGCCTACAAAGAGAAGGCAAGGCCTGGGAGGGGCTCCTAGTACCCCAGGCTTGATGAGAGAAGTCTGAGGAAGTGTGGTGCAGTGTAGAAGCTTGAGCCTGCCACACATAGAGGGAAAGAGAACCTGGCAAAAGAAACAACAAGGCTACAAAAAAAGTTGTGGAGTTTTCAAGAAACTGATTTACAGGGAACTTACTTCTTGTGATCATTGCTTGGTTCTCTTGGTGACAGGGAAAGAATGCAAATAAACAGGATGTGTGAACTCCTTTTATAACAAAAATTCTGAGTTGCTACGGGACTAGATCTTAAATATTCTCATCACAAAAAAAAAAAATCGCAACTTGTGATGATGGATGTTAACTAGACTTACCATGGTGATAGTTTTTCAATATGTACAAATACTGAATCATTATGTTGTACATCTGAAACTAATACATATTTTATCTGTCAATTATATCTAATTTTTTAAAAATTCTGTGGGAGAAACATAACTAGAAAACACAACCAACTGCAGAAGAAATCTATACCAGCTACCTAAAATATCCAGTCCTTCATTTTGAATATGGAAGAACAATAAAGGATCACCATATATATGGGGAAAGAATGGCAACATAAAAATCTAAAACTAAGATTAACCAAACTAATTCCAGAGAAAATAGTGACAATTCAGGAAGCTACAGTTAACTAAAACAAACAATGTAAAGGACCCTCTAATATCCTCAGAAAGAATCAAGATGATACTGAATCAATAAAAAACACCACAAAACAAGAAAAAGATACTATGAAAAAGGAACAACTGAAGGGATAAAAAGAGCTCTTGGAAATTTAAAATGTGATTGCCAAAATAAGTTCAACAGAAGGGTTAGAAAATACGATGGAAGACATCAAAAACTAATGATGTAATGTATGGTGATTAACATAACAATAAAAAATTTTTTAAAAAAGCAAAAATAAGATGGAAGAAACTTCCCAGAATGTTGAGTAAAATGCCATAGTGATCAAATACATTTATGAAAAGGTAAGATGTATAGCAGGTCAATCCAGGAGGTACAACATCCAACTAATAAGAATCCCAGAGAGGGGCGCCTGGGTGGCTCAGTCGGTTAAGCGACTGCCTTCGGCTCAGGTCATGATCCTGGAGTCCCAGGATGGAGTCCCGCATCGGGCTCCCTGCTCAGCAGGGAGTCTGCTTCTCCCTCTGACCCTCCTCCCTCTCGTGTTCTCTGTCTCTCATTCTCTCTCACAAATAAATAAATAAAATCTTTAAAAAAAAAAAAAAGAATCCCAGAGAAAGAAAATGGAGGAAAGAAAATTAGGAAAGAAATCATAAAATATACCAATGCTTATGGAAGACATAAGTTTACAGTTAGGAAGAGCCCACCAAGTGTCAAACGTAATGGATGATAAAAGAACCTACTTAAAATATTGTACGATTTCAGAATAGCCAGGATAGAGGCATGACCAAAAGCTTCCAGAGAGAAAAACAAGATCATCTACAAAAAAATCAGAGTGGCATCAGATTACTCAAGTTACACTAGATGCTAGAAAAGAATAGGGTAATGCCTTAAAAGTTCTGAGGGAAAGCATTTTTAGCCTTGGTGTCCATGCTCAGCCAAACTGCCAATCAAGGGGAAAAGCAAAATAAAATAATTTTTAGACATGCAAGAAACTGACTTTCAGTAAAAATGGTAGATCAACTGGGTGTTATATGAAAACAATGAATCGTGGATCACTACATCAAAAACCAATGATGTATTGTATGGTGACTAACATAACATAATAAAATTAAATTAAAAAAAAATGGTAGATCGACCACACACTTATTCCCTCCTCCTCCAAAACCAAAATGATAGTAAAGTAAAAAAGAAGGCAGTAACTACGATGGCCATATATCATACTTTGCCCAAAACTTGTCCCTCCATGATTATTAAGCACCACCTCTCACTTTTAAAAGTGTCTTGGTTCTGGGACGCCTGGGTGGCTCAGGTAGGTTAAGCGTCTGCCTTAAGCTCAGGTCATGATCCCAGGATCCTGGGAACAAGTCCCGCATCGGGCTCCTTGCTCAGCAGGAAGCCTGCATCTCCCTCTGCCTGCCTCTCTCTCTCTCTATTTCTCTCTCCCCTTGACAAATAAATAAATAAAATCTTTAAAAAAAAAAAAGTGTCTTGGTTCAAATGAAAATTATATGGTCACCCCAAGAGAAAAGTATACTAGTGATTTCAGCAGATTCAGAAGAGGTGGAAAGCAAAGGGAAAAGTGATAACTGATTTGGCAGAGTAAAAGTTACAATTTAAGTGTTTATGGAAGAGAATGCATATAGAAGTCAATTTGTCCTTTAAAGCCCCTGAGGCTTTATTCTCTGGAGAAAGTGAAGCAGCTCTTGACTCAGAAATATAGAATTCAAGAATTCAGGGAGGCATAGGACTGAAAAAACAGATGAACCATAGGCAAGAAGCCTTCTGCCCCTTTCCCCTGCCTTAAACCCAGAACACTAGCAGCCAGGTAGGGCTCCTTGCTCTGTATATTTTATGTAAAAATTATGGAGAAATTTGTTAGTTGGCGACCCAGGATAGGTAAAAGGAGATAGTGACTGAATTTTGTCATAGGCTCATAATTTCTGCCCCGAGTAGAACTATGGGAAGAGTGGAAACCCTTTTCCTCTCTGTTTCAGCTGTGCAGCCAAAACCACAGAGCCTTGGCCACCAGGCTCGGGCAATCCCTCCGTGGCCTGACCACTTCAAGGAGACCACAACAGCTCTAGGACCCCAAACTTCACAGACAATTGAAGAATTCCACCTACAGAGCCCCGTATTTGCTAAGGAATAAAGAGGGAGAACAACTCTTTGACTAGCCTCTGATTCTTGGTGTCACAACATCTAACCCATGGAGAGAATCAGAGTGTTGTCTATCCTTTTCCCCTACTCCACAGAAAAAGGAGACTTCCCGAATTTTTGCCCTCCCTAGAATACTAGTGCTAGATTATTAGATTGTATTTAGTTATTCATTTACATATCTGCTTCTATCACTAAAGTCCAAAATGCATATGGTTGAGAAGGGTGTACTATTTGTTTTTTGCACCCTCAATTTGAGTTGAGGCAGCCTATTGAATAAACAAGTCTAGATTACTGGCAATGAAGTAATTTGCACATGAGAATATCAAGGAATCATGTTAAGACCTCTGAAACCCCTCTTTTGAAAAGCGTCAAATATTATTGACATTACTCAGAAATATGCACATGAACTATGTAACACACCTGCGTTAGGGTTTTCAGACGTTCTAATGGCGCTGTGCGTATTCGAGCACGAGTACCAGATTTGCCTCCAGCCAACAGATACTTCCCGAACAAGCCAGAGCTTCTCTCTTCATCAGTTAAATCATGAAAAGTCCATCTTTCTCCCATATCAATTCCATATTAAAACAAAATAAATAAACAAACATTATAATTAGATCTCAAATGAGTATGCTCTCTCCTCATAAGATCTAAATAATGTTTTATATATCTCAGCTCCACAGTAAATTAATATCAGCCTTTGCTAGAATTTTGTGCTTCACCAACCAGTGTATTTTAAGTAACTCATAAATTAGCTTGAAATACTATCAGTTATAAACTAATAATATTTTTGGGCAACTCTTTCAGGTCCCCTCCCTCCTTGGGAGCTTTGTACTACCACTTTGCTTTCGCTCAATAAACCTTGCTTTGCCACCCACCAAAAATAAATAAATGAATAAATAAATAAACTAATAATATTTTTATCATGTTTAAGATAATCTTTACATTTGCCATTTTTAAATCTATTACCATTTTCAATTCAAAATTATTTGTTTAAGATTGAATACAAAAAAGAACAACCCGTCAGGTTCTACCAAATATTTGTAGCTGTGGTGAGATACAGACTATTAAACTACTAGTGAGATAACTATTTAACTGACAATAACATAAAAGTATCTCTAGTGTTCAAGATCTAGTGGATCTCCACGTTATGTTCAGTCAGACTCTTTACCTCTAACAAAACAAATACGAAATATAAGCATTCGGAAGCAGTTTCCGTTTATATCTTTACCTACAGTAGAATTGGCAAAACAAAAAACAAAAAAAAACCTGGACCTTCCCATGTAGTGCCCAGAGCCGCAGATAATAAGCTCTGCTGTACATGTATCATAAGCAGGATTTTTTTTTTTGAGGGCCTATGAATGTGAAAAAACTAGAACCTTAGCACTCTTTCAAAAGAATTCCAGTTATAGTTTATTCATTTATCCAACAAGTATTTATTGGGAATGTACTGTGTGACACAATAATCAGCAATTCACAGTCCCTACTTTCAGGCAAGAAAATAAGCAACTATAATACAGAATAATGGTGCCGTGTAGGAGTAATTAACTGCTAAGTGCATAATTATTCCCAACAGATGGGTGCTTTTTGCAAGTTGAAACTTTGGTTGAAGTAAATATTCTTTTTTTTTTTTTTCAAGATTTTATTTATTTATTTGACAGAGAGAGACACAGCGAGAGAGGGAACACAAGCAGGGGGAGTGGGAGAGGGAGAAGCAGGCTTCCGGCGGAGCAGGGAGCCCGATGGAGGGCTCGATCCCAGGACTCTGGGATCATGACCTGAGCTGAAGGCAGACGCTTAACAACTGAGCCACCCAGGCGCCCCTGGTTGAAGTAAATATTCTATGTCACTTCAGATATTTCACATTATACAAGTTTGTAAGGAAATAACATTCTATATCATCACTTGTTTAATCAAGAAAACCTCACTAGCTAATATTCTGGCCCCATAATTTTCTAACAGTTTATAATGCATTACATTTTATGCCCATGACTCATGGTATAAAATACACAAATATTAAAGAACAGACCACTTACAGTAAAATAGTTCCAGTGATGGGCAACTTCCTTAACATTTCTTGCAGGTTTATGTAAAAAAGCTTCCTCCATTCATCCCAGTCCACTTTCATTGACCCATCAGTATCCATGCTGTATATTTTTAAAAGAATATGCTCAAATATAAATTATAATTCATAAATTTCAAACAGCATTATCAAAATGATATCTTATATTCTTAAAGTCAGAATATCTGGGTTATAGTTGAGCTCTGTCCACTGTTACTTTTGTGAGGTAGAGTGCATCCTACACCTCTAAACTTCAGTTTCTATGGGAATAATCCTACAACATAGAGCTTTAGAGTATTTTTTTAAAGATTTTATTTTTAAGTAATCTCTACACCCATTGTGGGGCTCCAACTCACAACCCTGAGATCAAGAGTTGCATACTCCCCCAACTGAGCCAGCTAGACACCCTTAGAGTATTATATGGGATTATATATACAATGGCCTTATAACCTATAAAGAACTACAAAACTATAAGTGAGTAGTCCTGCATCCCAATCTTCTCCCATTTCTTCTTAAACATTTTCCCTTCTTTCCATCTGATAAACCTCATCTTGTAACTTTTCTAGCAACAAAATGATGACCGAAAATTACCTTTTTGGTAATTCAGCTCTTAAAAGACAATTTCCACTTTCTATGGATATGAAATATGGATATAAAAAATACCATAATAAACCCAAATACCCACGGAAATATAACTTCCATTAATATGGAATAATATAATTAAGCCAATTTTAAGAATTTTAAAGAATTCTCATTAGAGAATTTCTCAAATCCCTGAATGAAATTAAGAATTTGAATAAAGATAGTGAAATATATTGCTAAGTGTGAACTTACCAAAATTTCAACTTCTTGTCTCAGTCAGCTCCCTTTCTCAGCTTCCATGGTTGCTAAACTTCAAATATCTCCTCAAGCCACCAAATCAGCTCCAGACACTCAATCTCAGGCCATTGTCATCCCGTTTCTCCCCAAAACATGTATTCACACATTCTCATCTTTAAAAAAAAAAAAAAATCTGTGGACCTTATTTTCCCCACTATCACCACCTTTTATCTCTCTTTGTCTTTGCAGTAACACTTTTTTTATTATTTAAATTCAATTAGCCAACATATAGTACATCATTAATTTTTGATGTAGTGTTCAATGATTCATTAGTCGCATATAACACCCAGTGCTCATCACATTGCAGTAATACTTTTTTTTAAGATTTTATTTATTTGTCAGAGAGAGAGAGAGAGCGCGTGCGCAAGCAGGGGGAGGGCAAAGGGAGAATTAGGCTCCCTGCTGAGGAAGGAGCCCAATGTGGACTCGATCCCAGGACCCTGGGATCATGACCTGAGCTGAAGGCAGGCGCTTAACCAACTGAGCCACCCAGGCGTCCCACATCGCAGTGATACTTTTTTTTTATTATGTTATGTTAATCACCATACATTACATCATTAGTTTTTGATGTAGTGTTCCTGATTCATTGTTTGCGTATAACACCCAGTGCTCCATGCAATAAGTGCCCTCTTTAATACCCATCACCAGGCTAACCCATCCCCCCCACACCCCTCCCCTCTAGAACCCTCAGTTTGTTTCTCAGAGTCCATAGTCTCTCATGGTTCATCTCCCCCTCCGATTTCCCCCCCTTCATTTTTCCCTTCCTACTATCTTCTTCTTTTTTTTAACATATAATGTATTATTTGTTTCAGAGGTACAGGTCTGTGATTCAACAGTCTTACACAATTCACAGCGATCACCATAGCACATACCCTCCCCAATGTCTATCACCCAGCCACCCCATACCTCCCACCCCCCACCACTCCAGCAGTGATACTTCTAAAAGAGTTGTCTATCTTCTGTCTCCAATTTCTCCTTCTCATTCTCTCTTGAACCCACTCCCATCAGGCTCTCACCACCATTACTCCACCAATGGCCTCTGCAGTGGAAATCAATGGTCTGGTCTCTGTCCTCATCTTACTTAGCCTATCAGCAGTATTTGAAAAAGACAGCTGCCTCCTCCTTACATTTTCTCCATTTGGCTTCCAGAACAGAGTATTCTCCTGTCTCTTGTCCTATTTCTCTAGCTGCTCCTTCTCACTCTCCTTTACTGGCTTCCCCTCAATACCCTGCCTCTTAACTTTAAAGAATATCAGGACTCAGAGTATATTCTCTCTCTGGTCATCTCTTTCAGTCTCATGGCTTTAAATATCATCTATAAGCCCATGACTCCCAAATCTCTGCCAGAATGTTCCTCTGAACTCTAGACTCCTGTTTCAAGCTGCCTACCTGGCATCGCTACTTGTATGTCTGATTAGCATCTAGAAGAGAACAAGAACAAACCTGTACTCTGATAACCACCCCATCCCAAACTTGCTTTTTTCAGTCTTATCCATCTCAATGCATAGCCACTCCATTATTTAGATGCTCAGGCCAAAAGCCTTGGCATTAACCTTGACTATTTTCTTTCCTTTTTACCCCACATGTGCTCCCCAAAGTAAATCAAGTCAACATTTCAAAATATATCCAGAATCCAACCTCCTCCATCCTGGTACAAGACACCCTCAAATTTTGTCTGTATTTTGCAAAACTGTCCTGGTTGGTCTACCTGCTTTCTCCCTTGCTGCCTACAAACTATTTTCAACACATGAGACAGAATGAGACTGCAAAACCTAAGTTAAATCATGGCATACCTCTGTTTAAAACCATCCAGTGACTTACAGAGTAAAAGCCAAAGTCCTTATAATTTCCCTCTCAAGATCTGATGTGATCTGACTCCTGTTAAAATCTCCTACCACCCTCTTTCTCATTCACTCTATTCTGAACACACTAGTCCCCTCTCAGTGCCCTAGCCATATAAATACACTGCCCAACTTGGGCCTTTGCTCTTGCTGTTTCCTTTACCTAGAAGGCCTTTCCCCCCAAAGATTATCATGGCTCCTTCTCTCACTTTCTTCAGATCTCTACTCAAATGTCACCTTCAAGATTTTCCCTACTCACCATGTCTAAAACTGCAGCCCCTTGTATCACTCACACACAGAGACTGTTTCCCTTCCCTGCTCTATATTTCCCCTTATTGCTAATCACCATCTAACATAGATTGTTTATCTAGCTTACTGTTTTCTTCTCTTGTTTATTCTGAGTTACATAAGAGCAGGGATTTTTGCCTGTTTCCTTCACTACTACATCCTTAGCATCTAGATGAATGTCAAGCACTCAGTAAATATTGGTTGAGTAAATGAATAAATTTCTTTCATCCTTACCCACTTTCATCCTTACCTTCTGTGCTCTAGACCTAGAGGGTGAAATGTCGACTCCTACTGAAGGACTCTGTCTCTCTGTCTCTGTCTCTGTCTCTCTCTCTCTCTCTTTCTCAAATCACTGGTCCCAATCACTTTTCTCCTCTCTCTACAACATATCCAACAGTTCCCTCTCTGATTGTTACTTCTCCTCAAATCTCTCCTATCCTTAAAAAATAATAATAAAAATATAAAGACTTGCCTGTCTTCTTCTTATCCAAATATCCCAAATCAGTAAACCACTTTCACAGTCCCCATATCCTCACCTCCCATTCACTCAATAACAATCTGACTCAACTCTTTAGCTCCCTACTGAAAATGTTTTCACTAAGATCCCCAGAAATCTCCCAAATTTCAGATCCAATGGATGATTTTTCAGTATTTATGTTGCTGACCCCATTCTGTTCAATATGACATGCTCCACTCTTGGCTCTTGTGACACCATTAAATCAATAAGAAAACATGTATTGATCTGCTAGTATGTGCCAGACACTATGGTAGGCACTGACTACAGAACAATGGATAATAATATACTCTGTCCCTGCTTCACGAAGCTTACAGTCTACTGGCAACAGGGAGTATGACAAGCAAGCCTCTGTAAAGCTGCTGTAAAAGCAAATACCAGGAAGATAAAGAAGTTTCAGAGGTTAAAGTCACATCTAAACTGGGGCGCCTGGGTGGCTCAGTTGGTTAAG